TATTATAGTACTGTAAGGAATCAGCTCTTAGAAATTTCATTCATGTTTTGTTGGATTTTCGCTGAGTTGAAAATGAAACTTTGGTTGTGTTTCAGGAATCAAGATGGTATTTGATGAGGTTTTATCTTGTTTCTGCTGTGATTTCATGAAAAAAATGAGCGAGTTCACTATAGTTTTTACTCCTGTGATTTTAAATCCTCTCTTGAGAAGATTTTGTCATGTTGTGTTTCAGCTGAAAATAATATTAACACTTTATGCAATAAGATTTGGCAGATGTGAGTAGACAGATCTTCCGGGTAACATCTTTTTTTTATTTTCTTTTGATGTCTGTGTCACATTGGTGGAAAGGCACATCCTTATTCATGTTGACAAGACAGGGAAGATGGTTGTACTTAGGGAGGTTTGAGAACAATTTGAATAGCATTGGGGCTTGTTACTGGATACTTGGTATTTTATGAGGACAATAGGGGGACCTTTGATTGAAATCTACAAAAGACGACATATTACATTATGACCCATCTAAAAAATCAATACTGATGTAGACTTCCTTCATTTTGGTTGTAAATTGGGCAGAACTTTTAAAGTAAAGCAATATGACATTTTTATGTGATAGAAATTGTGTTAAGTAGATACTTCCAATTGGGAAGTAAGAAAAAAATTCCCTGTGAATGTATGATTTGAAGTTATTTTACAAATCATTCTGTAATTAAGGCTACCAAAGCAGTTTGGCATTTACTGTAGATATATTTTCACCGATATTGATGCCTTCATTTGAAGCTTGCGAAAGATAATGAATCCCACGGCATCAATGATTTATCATGTGAATAACACCAAATTTGGTGTGTCAGCATCTGAAACTAAATCTCTCCTTGCACAAGTAAATTAACGATAAGGGCGTCTGTCTTAATCCTTAGCTGCTTCTCAGAGGTGAGGACTTTTTGAGAGAACTTTTATGGGGGGAATGGTCCAATGAAATATTGACCTGTGTTTAACATCAACAGTAGGGGAATCGGGATCAATGTTAGTGGAAGGTACACATTCATTGTCCATGGTTGTGGCTTCATAACATCTGTGTATAGTGATTAAAGGCCAAGGGAAATCTTGTTCAATATTCAGGACTGAATTCATATTCAGTATCCATTGTAGGGGTTGCTAAATATTGATAAAGACTGATGTGTAATTAGTGTTTATATTAAGACCATATATAGTATTTTCAAAGTCATTGTAGTGGCCTTAGTCTGATAGGGTTCATGTTAGGGGCCACTTTCTGTGTTCATTGTAGGGGCCTCAGTCTTTGTACATTATAGCCAGTGTTCATTGTAGGGGCCACAATCTGTGTACATTATAGTCAGTGTTCATGGTAGGGGCCACAATCTGTGTACATTATATAGTCAGTGTTCATGGTAGGGGCAACAGTCAGTGTTCATGGTAGGGGCCACAGTCTTATGTTCATGGTTGGGGCCATACATTATGATGCATATAATTCAGGAACTGGTAGGAGTCTGAGAATTATGGGTTTCCTTGTCCATACTTGTCTGCTATAATCATTGATGAAGGCTATTTTTGATAATGCTAAGTCTTTTTGAAGAAAGTCTTTCAGAATAAGGGTTTTTGTTAGTTATTTATCCTTTATGCCAACTGATTGCATTTGGATACTGACTTTTAAGGGCCAAGTGCTTTAGGGACTGTGAACAGTAAAAGTTTAGGATTGATAAATCAGATCATTGAGTCTTTCCTCAAATAGAAATGTATGGGTCAGGGTTGAACTCTCATGATTAGAGGAAATATGCATGTGGACTGTCTGCTCTGTGATTAATCTCCAACACCTAGACAGGCAGATAGGGGAACACTATTGCAAAAGAAATGTAGAGCATAGAATTCTCCAAGGAGTTATAGTCATCTGAAGATTTTGGCTAGAAGTTCATCTACCCTGACCTAAAATACCCTTATCAATTTCTTCTTTTGTAATTAACTGGATCGACAGAGCTGGTCAGATTATCCAGTGGTATTAGTTATCATCTTGGTCGCTCTTGGCCTGTCTCTTGGGACACTTCTCAACACTTGGTTGGCTTACTAGTCAATTTATATGTCTATGTGTTGAGTATCCTGGCCTACGTCCATCAGATGAGATTTTTGTGAGGCTGCACTATGATGGCAATAGTCTTACTGATCAAGCTCACATTGATTGAAAGCACTGATTCTATTTGATGTTAAAATTATGAAAAAATAGCTCCTGAAATTACTTAACTTTTAATGAAGCTTTCTTGTTCTGACACTGTTTATATATTGTAAATCACCTTTATTTCACATGGGATCTATTTTCACATCAATATTCAGGGAGAGTCATTCACCAATTCAAATCCCTTGTGATTTTATATAAAGCAATAACTCCATGTTGATTCTGTTTATAAGATCTGCTTCCTACATAGCCAAGTCTCTAAAACCTCATCATTTGCTAATTTAGAGGAATTTCTAGATCAGTGTTCAAGAAATCATGTATTTGTGAATATGTCTGGAGAGGTAAGTTCCCCAAATAAAGTTTTCTCAACACTAGGTAAATTACAGTGTACAACTTTTTCCATTACATCTAAAAATCATTCCTGAGAGGTAAATTAGATAAAGAGGATTCCAATGTAGCAAAATGTTTTCATTCATTGATACAATATATTGCAGTGGAGACAATCAAAAGTATAAGTCACAAGGGAGACAATCGAAAGTATAAGTCAAAAGGGAGGCAATCAAAACTATAAGTCACAAGGGAGACAATCGGAACTGTAAGTCACAAGGGAGATAATCGGAACAATAAGTCGCAAGGGGGACAATCAAATCACTTTCTCACAAAGGAGAAAATCATGACAAAATCTCACATTGGGGAGAAAACTGAATAATATTAAGGGGAGACATTTTATGATATTATAGGATGCAAAATTAATATTATTCATGGGATGAAAATAATGATGAATTGTACAAGGGGATCATAGTCCATTGATAGTAGTATATGAAAGACACCTAATCACTAAGAGGGAGATAATTTAAAGATGTTTTACAAGAAAGATAATTTCAATGACTTTCTTACATAGAGATAATTCTAATCCTATACTATCGGACAATATAAGTTGTATTATAAATTGGAGGATGATTTCTGTTGATGTAACACAAATAGAAACAATATCAGTAATATTAAAAAATGAAAAATTAAATGTCTTCAGGCAAGGGCAGACAATTTCAATGACGGGATTCAATGGATGACATAATTTAATATTGTTGATTATAAGAGTTTTATTTTTGGATCATTTTAGTCATTGGTTATTGTTGTTATTTTCAGATAGAAGCACAGACTGTCTGCTTTTCTCCTCCATATTATCCTGTAGCCTATATTGCATGACTGTACACCATCCAATTTGTGTGTAACCAGCATTTTATTATTGAAAATGCAAGATATTAGTTTCATAAGAACATCAGTAGTAGGGATTATGTATTGATTGAAGAAACCTTATATTTGAGCAGATGATACCATAATGGGCTATAAGTAGTTGAGTATATTGTGGACGTTTACATATAAACGGATCCATCTGGTATCAGTACTTATAGATTTCACGCTCTGTATGTTTCTTTATACCACACATTTTATCTGTCTGGTTATGTAGATGTAAATACTGTAATAAAGGCACCCTTATAAATGACAGTTTTCTTCATTATCGAGCAGATGATTTTCAATTGATCTGTTTTGTTTTGATCTTATTGGTTTTGAATAAGAATGAAAACTTAACATTTTAAAATTATTATCTATTAGAAATCTTAGTTATTGATTAAAATGATCAGTTAAACTAAAATGATCAGTAAGATTTAGACAGAAAAAAAATTGTGGCTTGCATTTTTTTTCTTGTTAAATTAGTTTTTCAGTGGGAAATCTGACTGAAGGCCTTAGTTTTGAACTAATTTTTCAGGGATAGACAGGTTTATTGAGAGGATTCATTCAATTGTATCTCAAGTTTCATTCAGAATTTAAAACTTTAGTGTTGTTTAAAATTATATATACACACAAGTGTTTGTATTATAAAATGTATCTTGAAAGAAATTTGAATTTTACAACAGGGTAGTGAGATGATTTTGTGAATAATTGTATTAAAGTGTGTCATTGGTGGGTGAGTCAGGATGTACTGAGTGGGTGTGTTTGTTGAATATTTATATTCAGTGGTTTACTGTTGAGATCAATTGGAACATGTGTCAACATTGATCATTGTGTTGATGTATAAAGACAAGGTAGACTTAGTAGGTCTATAGATAGCATTGACAGCTTCCCCTGGTCATTTAACACCGACCAATGTAAACAATATAATAACATTAACCTGGCTATTTATAGGGCGTATATTGAGTTCATTGATTCATTGTCCCAGGTACACTGTCGACAAAAGCTTGTACATCATGGTTATATTTTAAACAAGATTTGTTCAAATGTACCAGGATAGATATAGGGATGCTATCAAGGTTCTCAAGTTCAAGGGATTCTATTGAGGATGGAAAAAAAATATGAAATTAGATCTACCATGAATAATAAAATAAAGAAAGTCAGTTAAATATTGTCTGCAAAAAACACATCCTGGTTGCTTCAAGCTTTCTTGAACAAAATAAATTTGTTTCATAAGAAATGACAGTATGGGATTTCAGAGTCAAAATTTGATTGCTTTATTGTTGTTAGTATGTAAATTTGTGATAAGGGATTTTGGGCCAAATGTAAGGAAATAGTATATAAACTTGTGATAAGGAACTCGGGGCCAAATGTAAGGGAATCTGTAGCATCAAATGGTCCTTGAAAATTAAAGAGACTATCGAATGGTCTTTGTACAAAACTGGTGACATGATCTAGCATGGAGAAGTGTCTGATCCCTCACTGTGGAGAAAGTCTCTTACTATTTCAGATATCTACATGTCTGGTTAATTTCACTGCCATTTCATTATACTTATATAATTCATAGCTATGGAATTTTCATGTGTTACAGATGAAGGCTCTTTGCAATTTCCCTGTAAAAACCAAATCAGCCAACACTACATCGTCACACCATTCCCACAAGGAACGGGGACACCATCATCAAGCACCACTCAACAGGCGCTCCATTGGTGGTGACCTTTATGATCAAGTGGTAGAGGTCATGAAGGAGCTGTTGACATCTCTTCGGATGTTTGACACCATGTCCGATGTGATCTGTGACCAGGAACTTTACTACAACCAAAATATGGAAAGCGATCAGTGTTGGAATGGAACCACTATTGGCAGGTAAGTTGAGGTCTTATGAAATTAAGTTTTTAAGGTAAAAAGAACACACCATTCATATTCACGGTTATGGTCATACTACTTAATGACAAGCTTAAAGTCTAGCCTACTTTTCATGGAAGCAGCAGTTGTTGATCATGGTTTCCAATACACAAAATCCAAGACAACAAAATTCAAGGTCATCATGATTAGATGTCAAGGTCATGATTAGATTTTGTTGTATTAAAATTGACGAACTGTACAAAGTTAAAGGAAACTCTAAATAGCCAATTTTGTTGTCAGTAAATCAGGGAAAAAAAGGAAGGTGTCTCTCTATATATAAATAACTACAAAAAACCCCCGAACAGGTAAGGCTGGGTCTAAAAATTGGTACAGGACACTTTGTGGTTATAAATAGCCTGAGGAAACAATGAACATCATTCTGTTTGTATGTGTAATTATATTATACACAGATGGTCATTATTTTACAAAAATTAGATGCTGAAAGCTCAGAAAGTCTTTCTGTTTCTAAAAATAGCTGTTCAAAGCTTTGAAGTTTATATTCTGTGTCCATTATAGCTGTTCAAAGCTCTGAAGGTCATTCTGTGGCCAAAAATAGGGACTCAAAGTTCAAGATCATTCTGTGACTATACATACCTGTTCAAAGCTCTGAAGGTCATTCTGTGGCCAAAAATAGGGACTCAAAGTTCAAAAAGGTCATTCTGTGACTATATATACCTGTTCAAAGCTCTGAAGGTCATTCTGTGGCCAAAAATAGGGACTCAAAGTTCAAAAAGGTCATTCTGTGACTATACATACCTGTTCAAAGCTCTGAAGGTCATTCTGTGGCCAAAAATAGGGACTCAAAGTTCAAAAAGGTCATTCTGTGACTATATATACCTGTTCAAAGCTCTGAAGGTCATTCTGTGGCCAAAAATAGGGACTCAAAGTTCAAAAAGGTCATTCTGTGACTATACATACCTGTTCAAAGCTCTGAAGGTCATTCTGTGGCCAAAAATAGGGACTCAAAGTTCAAAAAGGTCATTCTGTGACTATACATACCTGTTCAAAGCTTTGAAGGTCATTATGTGATTATAAATAATTATAAGAAACAGGTTTCCTCAAGAAATGATGTAATGTGCAGGGACATTTGCAAATACAGATGTGAGACATGTATTACAACAGGCATGTAACACTTAGTAAACGGAACAACAAATATATGTAACGCTTCAAGCGACATTTATGTATAGTTTAATACCACGAGGGAGCATTTCCCACCTTGCAAACATGATGGGATTTGATTTGTACTACAAACTGTCCCTATCATACCTCTGTCTGGAAATCTTAACCAGCTCCGACTCTCTGACTTAGGTTGGTACCTAGAGAGATAGCACTCTACTGATATACACAAGGAAAAGATGCACGCAGTACACACAACTATACACAACTTATCATTAGGGATGCACTTTATCTTCAACCAGTGCACAAACCTGATCACATGGAAGATCAGTACAAGCTACGACTACCTTTGAGTCTAATGTAATCAAAGTCTCTTGGTAGGGCTGGTTATATCACTGCTCAGCTAGTGTAGTTTCCATTTTTTATCAAAAGAGAAATCGGGTAGTTGTGATTTTGATTCATACCACAACTGTCTTTGTAGTATATGTGAAAGTGATATAACCTAGACCAATAGCTTGTGGAGGTTTTTTTTTAAATCCTCCCACCCACAATATTTTTTTTATGAACAATATGCAGAAAATGGTAATTCACTATCCTAACTCATTGTAATATGTTTCCACAGAGAAGGCGGTACAATATCACAGTTGAAAATCAAGTCAGATTATATTAATTAAAACATATATTGTTTTATTTCTAAATTTTGCCTACACATTGCTATGAAAACCAGTTTGTATTTTCCTGATGAACTGGCTAAGTTGAAGGAAGCACAGTTACTATATTAACATTGTATGCTAACCAGCCCTTTTAAGTAGTTTGACTTCAGATGTGTTGAAGCAGGTTTGTGACTAATGGAAATGAATGTCTGTGTGCTCGGGTCATGCCTCACATCACATACTACAGTAGGGAGGACAGATATGCATGTCCTGGTTCTACGCCATCTCTTTGGATCTGTGTTGACATAATTCTGTACTGCATGGCCAAAATGGTCTTCAAAGATTTCCAGGAAGCGAGGAAAAAATATATTGATTTGGCAACCATTTCTGTCTAAATCAGATTGATCAGATTCCTTATGTTACAATATTTGAAAGCATAATGAAGTTTTCTGTTCTAGAAGGGTGTCTAAGGTGTTCTTAAAATCAATTGTGGAAAGATTTTTAAAAAATCCTGAAATGTTTGTATCTGCCAGTAGTCCTGTAATGCATTACCATAAACTCTGTCCATTGAAAACAGCGCAAGTAAAAATATGCTTTTTTTAGAAAAAATGAATTGATATGACAAAGTTTGTAAATGATTCTTTGGTAGACATGACATGGGTCACTTGTACTTGGACCAGTTGTCAGCCTCGTTATTCCTTAATGGAAATTAATTAGCGCAGACATAAGTCATGTCTAAGACCTCTTCAGGGATCTGACAGATCAGATACTATATGGGGTATCAAAATATACATACGACATCAAGTGTTGGATTTGTTGAAGATAAATACAAGAGAATGCTATCACTTGGTAAATGTGGACGGAAACACCGGTCATTGTGACTCCAGGTCAGGAGGTATAGAAGTTTACACAGAAAATTGTTATCAAGATCAGTATATCAAACTATTGATGTTCAGGTTACATATTGAGAACATCAATAAAACAAGACATCGGATCATCATTGAAGATGAACTCTGAGTAGATGGCCACTTTCTTCTAACTGTAGAAACCTGCCAACATCTTATAATGATGTAGTGCTGTCACTATAGCTGAAGCACCATCATCACTTATTAATACAGCCTCCACCAGAAAGGTGACAGATAAACAACTGACTTGTCCATCATGTTCAACCATTTTCAGACAATGAAAATTGATTACTTTGGATCCTGACAAAATAATGAAACCAAGAAAAAAAATAATTTTGTTGTGTTTAGTGTAATTTTATTAAGATCGGGAGATATTGTAATTAGTGAGTAAAAACAACAGGCAAATTTAATCACTGATAAAGTTTATACTGATAAGGTCTTGTCTCCATACATGTATATAAATCATAAAGTACAGGATGTTTGTATAACGATGATAAATTATTGCTGTATGTAACAAAACAGCTGTTTAATATTTGATTTTGCTTCACAACCCCATCTTGGACAATGGAATAATCCAATTCAATATAAGTAAAGTTCATTGTTGAATGTTAAGGTAGGAGAAACTCCTTGTTACCTGAAGATGTTTTGTATGTTATGTGTTGGTGCTAGGCAATTAGTCATTGATAATTAACAATTAGCAAATCATTAAAGTATCATATTCTTCAGTGAATAATACAACATGGTTTTCTATTGTGTAGAAATCATGATAGGGACTTTTTTTAAAACGATTTATGAATTTGTTTTTTATTTTGCTTTCAGGAATCACTTTTGTTCTTTATTTCTCAATTCAAAAGTCTTGGAATACAATAGGGATGTTTTATTGTGGGACTGTCTGACTGTCAGGAATCTATTTTACAGGTGTTTGCTGGTTTTGTAGGCATGTGATGATTGACAGGAGGATGTGTGTTGTACATTTGACACATACTTTAGGAAGTTTTCTCAGTCAGTTGGCAGTGTCTATGACTTTTAGCAGTCTGGTGTTAGTCAGGGAATTACATAGGTCTGATAATATAATACAAAATTATTACACTATAACTCACAGTAGTTTCAAATGTCAGGGGTCATTGAAGGTCACAGGTCATGTGAAAAATCAGTCTGGATTGTCATCTTACAAAAGTCTCTGAGAATTTGTTGTAAAAATTCTGCTTGGTTAGCTTTAAAGTCTCTGAGAATTTGTTGTAAAAATTCTGCTAGGGTTAACTTTAAAGTCTCTGAGAATTTGTTGTAAAAGTTCTGCTAGGGTTAGCTTTAAAGTCTCTGAGAATTTGTTGTAAAAATTTTGCTAGGGTTAGCTTTAAAGTCTCTGAGAATTTGTTGTAAAAGTTCTACTAGAGTTAGCTTTAAAGTCTCTGAGAATTTGTTGTAAAAGTTCTGCTAGAATTAGCTTTAAAGTCTCTGAGAATTTGTTGTAAAAGTTCTGCTAGAATTAGCTTTAAAGTCTCTGAGAATTTGTTGTAAAAGTTCTGCTAGAATTAGCTTTAAAGTCTCTGAGAATTTGTTGTAAAAGTTCTGCTAGGGTTAGCTTTAAAGTCTCTGAGAATTTGTTGTAAAAGTTCTGCTAGGGTTAGCTTTAAAGTCTCTGAGAATTTGTTGTAAAAGTTCTGCTAGGGTTAGCTTTAAAGTCTCTGAGAATTTGTTGTAAAAGTTCTGCTAGGGTTAGCTTTAAAGTCTCTGAGAATTTGTTGTAAAAGTTCTGCTAGAGTTAGCTTTAATAACAGTTTGTAACATGAATATTGATGACTTGGAGTGTCAGCAATGTTATTCAGATTTTCTAGAAAGACATTGTTAGTATTGGTTTATGTTATTTTAATGTCCAACTTTTAAAAAAGTTACTCATTTATGATGGAAAATTTTTGAATAGAAAAACTTTTTATAATTCAAAGTATGATAAAGTTAGTGAAGAGAATAGAAATTATCTAGCATAAGAGGAGATCTCCTTGTCAGATGACAGGGCGCTTACATTGTCAACAAAGGAACCTAATTTATCATTTCAATGAACATATATTTTTCATTGTCTAAATAGTTTTGAAAAAACACCTTTCCTTTATGAGACTTGTGTAAGTAACATCTGTATGCCGGGCATTTAAGGCTATTTTCACTGCTTTTCTTTTCCTGTTTGTTTAGATACCTAGATCAAATTTGATCTTATCTAGGTTTGAAAACATTCCTGACCTTACTTTTAACACACACTGATAACCTTTTTGTGACATAAGTGACTCTGTTATTG